CTCCTGGGCTTAAGCAATTCTCTTGCCTCAGCCTCCCAATTAGCTGGGACTATAGGTACCCACCACAACACCCGCCTATTTTTTGTTGCAGTTTGGCCTGGGCTGGGTTTGAACCAGCCACCCTTGGCATATGGGACTGGTGCCCTACACACTGAGCCACAAGCGCCACCCACAAAATAGCATTTTAAACATGGGATTTTATTAGAGAGATGTATTTTTTTCTCCCCGTGTTTTTTTCTTGATTTTTTAGAATCTGATTTTTCGTTGAAATGCAAGTATAAAAATAAAGATGAAATACAATTAAGCCAAACTCTACATAAGAAGCGAATTTATTAAAATAATTTCTGCCCTTACAAAAATTTAAAAAGAAGTGTTTGGCTAACATCCCGTGTTTTCACCCCTGTGATTTTTGTAGACATTCAGGATGTAGCTGTCTACAAGAATGAGCTGTTCTGTTTGCACCTGAATGGGAAAGTCTCACATCTCTCCCTGTTATCTGTGGAGCGCTGTGTGGAACGCCTGCTAAGGAGAGGCCTATGGAACCTGGCTGCTCGCACATGCTGTCTTTTCCAAAATTCCATCATTGCTAGCAGAGTGAGTCAGAGCTTACCTAGAGGTGTTTATCAAGGGTTGGTAAAACAATCCTAGTTTGCAGGATTGTATTACAAAGTTGCTTGTCTTTATTAGCCCTTTTTATGTAACTTACAGATATAGCAATAAGTCCCCAAAGAAAGCATGATAGATGTGCCTAGGGGGGGATGGAGGACAAGAAAAAAGTACATTTTCCACTTTTTAAAAAATGCCAAATTTGGCTAGGAGCAGTGGCTTATGCTGTTGTTATCTTAGCCCTTTGAGAGGCCAAAGCGGGTAGATTGCTTGTACTCAGGAGTTCAAGACCAGTTGAGCAAGAGCAGGACCTGTCTCTAGGAGAAATACAAAAAGTAGCCAAGCATTGTGGTAGGTCCCTTTAGTCCCAGCTACTTGGAAGGCTGAGAAAAGAGGATCACTTGAGCCCAAGAGTTTGAGATTACTGTGAGCTATGATGCTACTGGCACGCTACCCATGGAAACAGAGTAAGACTCTGTCTCCAAAAAAATAAATACATAAATAAAAATATCAAGTTTACCCACAAAAAAAAAAATTTTTTTTTTTTTTGAGACAGAGTCTCAGTCACCCTAGGGTTAAGTACCAAGGTGTTATAGCTTAGAGTAATCTTAAATTCTTGGGCTCAAGCAATCCTCTGGCTTTAGCCTCCCAAGTAGCTGGGACTATCGGTGCCTATCACAAAGCCTGGCTATTTTTAGAGACAGGGTCTTGCTCTTACTCATTTGGTCTTGAACTCCTGTGCTCAAGCTGCCTCCTTTGGCCTCCCTGAGTGCTGGGGTTGAAGGCGTGAGCCACTGCCCCCAGCCAAGTTTACCCACAAATTTATTTGAATTTCAGAACTTATTTTTAAGGGCTATAATTATGTGTATGGTAATTCTTTTTTTTTTTGAGACAGAGTCTCACTATGTTGCCCTCGGTAGAGTGATGTGGCTTCACAGCTCACAGCAACCTCCAGCTCTTGGGCTTAAGTGATTCTCTTGTCTCAGCCTCCCATGTAGCTGGGACTACAGGCACCCACTGCAACACCTGGCTATTTTTTGTTGCAGTTGTTATTGTTGTTTAGCTGGTCTGGGCCGAGTTAAAACCCACCACCCTGGCTCAGCGCCTATAGCTCAACC